CCCAATTTTCTTTTGGGGCCCCCAATAGTAGCGGGGGGGTTGGGGTTTCTTGTACAAAACTTGACTAGGTCGGGTTTACGCACTCCCACTTTTTATAATTTTCAATTATTCCCCTTTTTTTTCATTCTATATAATTTTTAAACCCTTTGAGGGGTAAAGGGTTGGGACTAGAAGGGTTTCCCTTGGGGGCCCCTGGTCACTTAAATTTTTCCAAGAACACACCGGAAAAAAACTGTAATAAAACGAAAAATTCCGAGTGGGATTCTTTGGGTTTTTAACCCCGGAGGCTTTGGTGGGGAAACAATGGGGGGGGCGGCACATGTGAGGCTGGCTGAGGGCACTTTTGGAAAGGTCTCGGACAAAATCGGGTAAGCCGGGGTTTTTTAAACCCGGGATGCGCGGCAAAAATTTTTTCGATTTAAAAATAATCATTATGCGGAAAAAATCGCTATGTGAGCCCTCGTTATGCGGGGTTTCCCTGTATTTATAGGGGTTTTTAGCCAGGGGTGCCAATTTAATGTTTGCCCAAATTTCGGGTTTTGAAGTTTTTAATGGCCCGCCTCATTTGGGGAGTTGAAGGTGACTTTAGTAGTTTTCTTTTTGGGGGGGTTTTTCCAAGAGTTTTTTATGGGAAAGTAGGGTAGTGGTCTGTGGGTTTTTCTGTAATTTTTGCCTGAATTTTTTAAGGGGGTATGGTGGTTGGTCCGATTGGTCCAAATAGGGAAAAAAAAGTTCCCCTGTAACTCTTGTTTTGGTTTTGGGTTTCTGTTTTGGGGTAACCTAAAAGTTACTCATTGTGTTTTTTTTTTTTAATTCATAAAGTGTGGGTCCTGGTCGCAGGGGGGGTTTATATTGAAGTAACCCGGGGGTAGTAAGTGATTTTGTTAAAAGCGTGCATCAGTTTTTCCCTACCCTTTCCCAATTTTTTTCTAAATTGGCTTAAAGTTTGACTGTGGAACTCTTAGATGTTTAAACAAAGTGAGGGGGTTTTTGTTTGGGAATTTGATTTGAATTTAGCTATTAAATTTTTCCCCCTGTTCATCCCTTTTGCAAGTAAATTTTGATACTTTTTAGTTGGGCTGAGTTAAATATATGGCTGTTTCCCCCCCCTTGTTGATCTGGCCCACCCGTTTTTGAAAGGCTTTTGTAACCGGAAAGGGATAGACATCTGAAATATCAGGCTTTTGCCAGGTTTTCCCGGTTTGTGTAATGATGGACATATTGGCATTTTAAGGAAAAAAGTAAGCTATGAGGGATCGTAAATGCTTTCTTTAAAGGGTCTGAAAATTGTAGTTAAATATAGTTAAATTTTTTTTGGCAAATGAGAAGTGCCTTTGATTGTTCCCGGTGTAGTAATTACAGTTAAAAATTTGAAATTTTTTAAATAATTTAAAAAAGAGGGTTGGTAACAGGATTTAATACTTTTAATTTATAAGATTTTTAATTGGGAAAATAAAGTTTGAATTTAAATATAAAACAAAGTAATAGTTTTTAAAACTAAAAAAAAGCATGTATGTTAATTGTGAGGCAATTTTGTACTAAGTTTAAAAAGGATTGTATTAAGTTCAGATAAGATTTTTAAAACAGCTAACCAAATATTTTTTGTCTAGTTTTAAATTACCCAAATAGTTTCTATTATCTTTAATTTTAGTTTTTAAATTTAAATTTTCTATGATTAGGGTTAGTTTGCCCCGAAATGCCTCGGGGATGAAGTGGGTATCTTTGTACTTAGCAAATCAAAATTGTAGAAAACATTTAACCTTTTTAAAGAAATAAACTTTATTTATTTTTTTTATTTAATCTTTCATATTTTTTTTTTTTTTTTTTTTTTTTTTAAATTTCCCAATGGTTAAATACTTTCTAGGGCCCTTTTTATAAAACCCCTGGGCCCTTAGTCCCCATCACCCCTTTGCAAGATGAGGTTTTGTATCCCTTTTTGGCCCCTATTTGTTTTTTATCTGTTGATGGGGCTAGATCTTTCTTATAAAATCTATCAAAATTTCCCTTTTTTTAATTTTGTTTGGGGTTATCATGACTCCTATTTTGCTTGGATTGGGCCCCAAGATGGTATTTCCAAAACTTTAAAAAATTTTTTTGTAGGGTCTTTTTTTTTTTTTTTTGTTTAGAGAACTAAGGGTTGGGAAAAATCTTATTTTTTTTTTTTCCCCCCGGTTTTTCCATTTTTTTTTTTTTTATTATCCCCACTGGCCGATTCCCACCAAGGCAGGGGGGCCCGAAAAAGGGAAAAAATTTCACCATCATTCACTTTCCCTACTGTCTTTTCCAAAGGGTTTTTACACCATTTTTTAAAAAATGCCCAAAATTAAACACCCCCCCCTTCAGAGTGCAGGGGAAATGTACTTCCCATCTCCCCGGGCTCAAGTCCCGGCCTTTCCGGTTTTTCCCTTTAATCCCTTTATAAATGTTTACTTTTTGGGTCACACTCCAAAAGCACGTCAATATTTAAAAACCTTTTTTCTCCATTTTTACCCTATCAAACACGGGTCACGCATGCCCCGCTGGGGAAATCCAAGCCCCTCGCCCACCCAAAAACCCCCTTTACCCCCCCCTCCAACCCTTCCAAAGGGCCACCCCTACCCCCCGGGCCCTTTCCCTTTCCCCTTTCAGACTTTATGCACTCTTTTTAAGTCATTCTGTTTTTGCTCCATTCTCTTACATGTCCCAACAAACCCCAACCCAAACCCCTTTCACCCCCCTGGACAACAGTTTTGGGAATCCCCCCACCCCTTTCCCAACTTCCCAAAATACGAATTCCCCTCATTTAAAATTTACCCACACATTGCCCTCAGGGCATGAATCTCCACGGGCCCCCAGCCTTTTTTCCCTGTGCAACATTCATCACCCAAAGCTTCACACCCATATAAGAGCGTTTTGGTTAAAAAAATATACTTTTCAACCCTTTCCCCCCTTTTCCTCCAAGGACAAAGTTTTTTTGTCTCCACAAAACTCCTAAGTGCAACCACTCTTTTTTTTTCCCCCATCAAATTTTATGATTCACCTCATCTTTTATAGACCCATCCGCTGACACCCCCTTTCCCCAAAAATTTTGAATACGTTCACCTCCTCCATTTCTCTCCCCCCCTCCAATCTGATATTCAATCTTTATCACCCTAATCTTTTTGTTATCCTTTATAACCCCTTTTCCTTTTCCCGGATTCACCTTTAAAATTTTTTTCCTTTTTTCACACCCCCACCAAATTCATCCCCAATCTCTGAAAATTTTTCTTCAGAACTCCCCAAAAGCCCCCAAAATTTTCCCTCAGCAAGAGCCCGCTTCCATATGGGCTTAAATGCAAATTCCATAGCATCTTCATTTTTAAAATTTAAATTTTGGTTTAATTTTGGGGAACTTTTTTAAACATTTTCTCCAAATTTGGTTAACCCCGGGTAAGTTTTTCTAAAAAAATTTTTCACTACAAAACCTCCCCCTCACTTAATGATGGGTTCTTTTTCCTTTAAACCCACATTAACCAATTTGTTTCTAATTTGGGGGATACTATAAAATAAACAGTGAGTTTTTGGGCAACCATCTTTTATATTGTTTTAATGTCACCCTTTTAACAATTTTTAACATTTTTGGTTTATTTTTTAAAAGTTTATTCTTTTTAGTTTCTGTAATTTAAATAAAAAAAAATAAGGGAAAACACCTCTAAAATACATTTTTTAGGTATTTAATACTTGGGTCAGAGAGCCTGTCCCAAAATCCAAAGGGATCGGTAAAATTGTTTTCCCAAGTGAAGGGAGGCTGTATTTCCCTTTGTATGACTTTCCCAAAGATAATGTTTTTTCAATGACTCCAGGTTCCCCTGATGTTTTTTCTGGTTTTTTAGACAATCTGGGCCCCTATAAATTTTTTATTTTCCTTACTGGGATTTTCCTGGCTGGGTCGTTCTAAATCGTATGAAAAAACCCTTTAAAAAGCCTTTTTTCCAGAAAAACTTTTAAGTGCCCAAAAGAAATCATCGAAAAACTCTTCTTAATCCCCCATACATAAATAGGTTCAAAGCCCCTTTTGTTTCCAGCCCCCTTGATGTTTCCTTCTTTATTTTTGGGGGTAGTTTGGGATAGTTCCAATGTAGAAAAGTCCCATTTGCAAACACTGCCCTTTTTAAAATATGAAAGGGGAAATTACTTTTGGTTTGGAAGCCCTGGTTTCCATCTCCTTCCCCCCTTTTCTTGTTTCCCCCGAAACCAACTGGATTGGGGTGATCTTGGGCCTCAAACTGGCACCTGCCTCAACAAAAATTGGGGTAAGACCATTTTTAGCGAAGGCGAAGGGAAAGGGTTAATAAAGCAACCCCGACCTTTAAATGGGGGTATACCCCAGTAACCCCCCACATAGGAGAGAGGAGTTTACGATGACGTTTTGGTCTGACTTGAACCATTTACAAAGTCACAGTGGGGCTGTGAGAGGTGAGTAGTAGGTACGGATAGATATAACCAGTGGGCCCCTGTGGTCCGTATCGCAGAAAGCTGATTTTCATACTTCAAAATGTAGTTTAGTAAAGAATAAAATCTAATAACTTAAGATTCCAGACATAATCTGAATTGTTGTGGACGTTGTATTATGCACTAGCTTTTGGCTGTGAGTGTTGTGACTATATTGAGTTCTGGTACTGTACAGAGTATAGAAATTAATAAAATGTTTGTGTTTTGGAGACTTTTAAAGGGAAGTACTGTCTGTCTTAAGATAAATATACTGTAATTGTAAAATGAATTGTCTCGGGTGACATAAAAACTACCATAATTATTAATTTGTTTTTAGAGTTCAGTGGATGCCATTTGAAGTTTCTTTCTCTCTGGTAACCCATTAAATCTTAATGGGAGGCAACATGAATCTTCTTTGGAAATTTTGCTTTTAATATATAATCATGTTCTTTGTCAATATTCTAGTATGGTTTATTTAATTGTTCAGACAGATTTGATATATGATGTTCATTTAAGTAAAAGAAAGTAGCACAACCTTTCTTTATTTACAGGTACAGTAGTTGCAAAACACTACAACAACATTGAAGACAAAGGCTTGCAAGACAGAAGTAAAAGCCGTATATTTTTTATGAGGAACTCTAACAATTGGATTAAAAGTTATCTCATAAATTACTGCTTAGAACAGATCAGAGATCGTCAGGTTGATGGGTATCCTGTTTGTGTGCTTGATCTGGGCTGTGGTAAAGGTGGTGATCTTCTTAAGTGGCAGAAGGTGAGTTATATCCTTGCCTTGTCTCCTTTCTCCCCTCCTCCTGTCTAACCCTTCCCCTCCTCCCCTCTCCCCATCTCCCCTCTCCCCTTCTCCCTCCCCCTCCTCTCCCCTTCTCCCTCCCCCTCGTCCTCTCCCCTTATCCCTCCCCCTCGTCCTCTCCCCTTCTCCCTCCCCCTCGTCCTCTCCCCTTCTCCTCCCCTCGTCCTCTCCCCTTCTCCTCCTCTCCCTTCTCCTCCTCTCCCCTTCTCCCTCCTCCTTCTCCTCTCCCCTTCTCTCTCCTCCCCCTCTACCTCCACCCTCCTCCTCCATTTTTTTCCCCTCTCCCCCATTCCTGAGATTTTCTAAATCACCTACAGGGTATACAGTGGACCCTCGCATAACGCTATTAATCCGTTCTTGAGAGCTCAATGTTAGGCAAAATTATTGTTAGGCAATTAATTTTCCCCATAAGAAATAATGGAAATCAAATTAATCCGTGCAAGACACCCAAAAGTATGAAAAAAAAAAATTTTTACCACATGAAATATTAATTTTAATACACACAAACTGAAGAAGACATGCACAGTTACATGACACTTACCTTTATTGAAGATCTGGTGATGATTGATGGGATGGGAGGAGGGGAGAGTGTTGATGGTCTTAGTGTTTAGAAGGGGAATCCCCTTCCATTAGGACTTGAGGTGTCAAGTCCTTTTCCGGGGTTACTTCCCTTCCTCTTTTAATGCCACTAGGACCAACTTCAGAGTCACTGGACTTCAGTCGCACAACATGCCTGTCCACAGAGGTCTGTACCTCTCGTTCCTTTATGACTTTCCTAAAGTGTTTCACAACATTGTCAGTGTAATAGTCACCAGCACGACTTGCGATAGCTGTCTGAGGGTGATTTTCATCCATAAAGGTTTGCACTTCAAGCCACTTTGCACATATTTCCTTAATCATTAAAGTAGGCAACTTCTTCAATTTCTCTCTCCCGTCCTCCGAAGCAGTTTTCTCAGGTGTGCCCTCTTGCTGTTGAAGATGATCTAGCAGCTCATCAGTGGTTAGTTCTTCATTGTCCTCCTCCACCAACTCTTCCACATCCTCCCCACTAACCTCCAACCCCAAGGACTTCCCCAATGCCACAATTGATTCCTCAACTGGCATACGCTTCTCAGGGTTAGCCTCAATTCCTTCAAAATCCCTTTTGTCTACACATTCTGGCCACAGTTTCTTCCAAGCAGAGTTCAAGGTCCTCTTAGTCACTCCCTCCCAAGCCTTACCTATAAGGTTTACACAATTGAGGATATTAAAGTGATCTCTCCAAAACTCTCTTAGAGTCAGTTGAGTTTCTGAGGTCACTACAAAGCACCTTTCAAACAGAGTTTTTGTGTACAGTTTTTTGAAGTTTGCAATGACCTGCTGGTCCATGGGCTGCAGGAGAGGAGTGGTATTAGGAGGCAAAAACTTGACGTTAATGAAGCTCATATCCCCACAAAGTCACTCTGCCAAGTCTATAGGATGACCAGGGGCATTGTCTAACACCAGGAGGCACTTAAGGTCTAATTTATTTTCAATTAGGTAATTTTTCACGGTGGGGGCAAATGCATGGTGTAACCAGTCATAGAAAAAGTCCCTAGTGACCCATGCCTTACTGTTTGCCCTCCACAGCACACACAAATTAGCATTGAGGATATTCTTTTGCCTGAACGCTCTGGGAGTTTCAGAGTGATACACCTATAAAGGCTTCACTTCGCAATCACCACTAGCATTGGCACACATTAACAGAGTAAGCTTGTCTTTCATAGGCTTATGTCCTGGGAGTGCCTTTTCCTCCTGAGTAATGTAGGTCCTGCTTGGCATTTTCTTCCAAAACAGGCCTGTTTCGTCACAATTAAACACTTGTTCAGGTTTCAGTCCTTCACTGTCTATGTACTCCTTGAATTCATGCACATATTTTTCAGCTGCTTTGTGGTCCGAACTGGCAGCCTCACCATGCCTTATCACACTATGTATGCCACTACGCTTCTTAAATCTCTCAAACCAACCTTTGCTGGCCTTAAATTCACTCACATCATTACTAGTTGCAGGCATTTTTCTAATTAAATCCTGATGCAACTTCCTAGCCTTTTCACTTAAGATCACTTGAGAGATGGTATCTCCTGCTATCTGTTTTTCACTTATCCACACCAATAACAGTCTCTCAACATCTTCTATCACTTGTGATCTCTGTTTTGAAAACAAAGTTGCACCTTTGGCAAGAACAGCTTCCTTGATTGCCGTTTTCTTGGCCACAATAGTAGCGATGGTTGATTGGGGTTTACTATACAACCTGGGCAGCTCGGAGACATGCACTCCACTTTCATACTTAGCAATGATCGCTTTCTTCATATCCATAGTAATTCTCACCCTTATTCCTGTAGGGTTGGCACTAGAAGCTTTCTTGGGGCCCATGGTCATTTATTTTGCAGGTGAAATCACTAAACATGCTGTAATAATACGAAATGTTCCGATTGTATGCTTGGATGTGACCGAGGAGGCTGGCTTGTAAACAATGCCACCGGCGGAACAAGCGAGGCTGGCTCAGGCCGCACATGGACACATCTCGGACGAATCGCGTTGAGCGAGTTTTTTAGCGATAGGCGAGGCAAAATTTTTGCGTTAAAATGTATCGCTAGGCGGATTTAACGTTATGTGATGCCAACGTTAGGCAAGGGTCCACTGTAATTTAATTTTTTATATACGTGTATTTGTAATACTGTACTGCATAAATGCCTGTTGATTTTGCTGAAATAATTTTAAAGTAAGATATAATTCCACCATTGAGTAAAATTGTTTATAAAATTTTTCAAAAACAAGTACAAGAGAGAAACACGATAATATTTATTTCTTTTTTTATTATCACACTGGCCGATTCCCACCAAGGCAAGGTGGCCCGAGAAAGAAAAACTTTCACCGTCATTCACTCCATCACTGTCTTGCCAGAAGGGTGCTTTACACTACATTTTTTAAACTGCAACATTAACACCCCTCCTTCAGAGTGCAGGCACTGTACTTCCCATCTCCAGGATTCAAGTCCGGCCTGCCGGTTTCCCTGAACCCCTTCATAAATGTTACTTTGCTCACACTCCAACAGCACGTCAAGTATTAAAAACCATTTGTCTCCATTCACTCCTATCAAACATGCTCACGCATGCCTGCTGGAAGTCCAAGCCTCTCGCACACAAAACCTCCTTTACCCCTCCCTCCAACCTTTCCTAGGCCGACCCCTACCCCGCCTTCCTTCCACTACAGACTGATACACTCTTAAAGTCACTCTGTTTCGCTCCGTTCTCTCTACATGTCCGAACCACCTCAACAACCCTTCCTCAGCCCTCTGGACAACAGTTTTGGTAATCCCGCACCTCCTCCTAACTTCCAAACTACGAATTCTCTGCATTATATTCACACCACACATTGCCCTCAGACATGACATCTCCACTGCCTCCAGTCTTCTCCTCGCTGCAACATTCATCACCCATGCTTCACACCCATATAAGAGCGTTGGTAAAACTATACTCTCATACATTTCCCTCTTTGCCTCCAAGGACAAAGTTCTTTGTCTCCACAGACTCCTAAGTGCACCACTCACCCTTTCCCCTCATCAATTCTATGATTCACCTCATCTTTCATAGACCCATCCGCTGACACGTCCACACCCAAATATCTGAATACATTCACCTCCTCCATACTCTCTCCCTCCAATCTGATATCCAATCTTTCATCACCTAATCTTTTTGTTATCCTCATAACCTTACTCTTTCCTGTATTCACTTTTAATTTTCTTCTTTTGCACACCCTACCAAATTCATCCACCAATCTCTGCAACTTCTCTTCAGAATCTCCCTAGAGCACAGTGTCATCAGCAAAGAGCAACTGTGACAACTCCCACTTTATGTGTGATTCTTTATCTTTTAACTCCACGCCTCTTGGCAAGACCCTCGCATTTACTTCTCTTACAACCCCATCTATAAATATATTAAACAACCACGGTGACATCACACATCCTTGTCTAAGGCCTACTTTTACTGGGAAATAATTTCCCTCTTTCCTACATACTCTAACTTGAGCCTCGCTATCCTCGTAAAAACTCTTCACTGCTTTCAGTAACCTACCTCCTACACCATACACCTGCAACATCTGCCACATTGCCCCCCTATCCACCCTGTCATACGCCTTTTCCAAATCCATAAATGCCACAAAGACCTCTTTAGCCTTATCTAAATACTGTTCACTTATATGTTTCACTGTAAAGATCTGGTCCACACACCCCCTACCTTTCCTAAAGCCTCCTTGTTCATCTGCTATCCTATTCTCCGTCTTACTCTTAATTCTTTCAATAATAACTCTACCATACACTTTACCAGGTATACTCAACAGACTTATCCCCCTATAATTTTTGCACTCTCTTTTGTCCCCTTTGCCTTTATACAAAGGAACTATGCATGCTCTCTGCCAATCCCTAGGTACCTTACCCTCTTCCATACATTTATTAAATAATTCACCAACCACTCCAAAACTATATCCCCACCTGCTTTTAACATTTCTATCTTTATCCCATCAATCCCGGCTGCCTTACCCCCTTTTATTTTACCTACTGCCTCACGAACTTCCCCCACACTCACAACTGGCTCTTCGTCACTCCTACAAGATGTTATTCCTCCTTGCCCTATACACGAAATCACAGCTTCCCTATCTTCTTCAACATTTAACAATTCCTCAAAATATTCCCTCCATCTTCCCAATACCTTTAACTCTCCATTTAATAACTCTCCTCTCCTATTTTTAACTGACAAATCCATTTGTTCTCTAGGCTTCCTTAACTTGTTAATCTCATTCCAAAACTTTTTCTTATTTTCAACAAAATTTGTTGATAACATCTCACCCACTCTCTCATTTGCTCTCTTTTTACATTGCTTCACCACTCTCTTAACCTCTCTCTTTTTCTCCATATACTCTTCCCTCCTTGCATCACTTCTACTTTG